TTGCATCACAAATATTACAATGAAACTAGAACACAGTGTTAAATGACTTCAGCGTCAGAATGAGTTTGTGAATGTTGATATCATAAGCTAAAATGGAGCTGCTTTGTCGGACAACCATGACTTGGGAAGGGCATGGGATGGAAGATAGGATATAATAAGCAGATGAGGTGGTTGAGTGAATGTATTTAAGTAAACGTGCTGAAGAACGAAGCAGCTGGATTTAGTTAGGTCTTTCCCTGGGCCTCCCATAGCCAGAGTATGATGTGCGCGCGCACACACACACACACACACACACCAAAAATACACCTAATCACCCAAGACCTCCAGTGCTTGTTCAAAGATAGCTATCATTTTCCATTAATAAAAAAAAAGGTTAAGCATAGAACGCTACCTAACCAGAGATTTAAAAGGGTTTGTGTGTGTATAAATATGTATACATGTATGAGTGTGTGTGCACCAAGTTTATTTTCATTAATTAGTTTGCACTCACACTGGCTGATACAGCAAGTTGTCTTGAACTCATACTGACACCTAGTGGTGTGGATGCAGCATTAGTCAATAAAAGGTTTCAGGTACTGATGGCATTGAACAAATGTGCTTCAGGGAGATGAAGTGTCCAATAACAGGGGGCTTATTAAGACAGCTTCCTTGTAATAAATGCACTGTAAGATTTCGAAAGTTCTGCACTGTAAAGAATCATCCAGCGAAAGCAGGGCGTGCCAAATTTCAGTCTTGCTCAAAAATGCAGTGCTTGTCTGGAATGAGGGTTTTCTTCCGCAGAGGAGAATGCTGTGTAGAAAGGTGAGAGAATGCACTCTTTGCTGGGAATTGACAATAGGAGCACACATTCTAGTCATTCTCACCCTGTAAAGCTTGCTCGGCAAGTCCTCACATTTCACATGCATGGTGTCTTCACACTTCGTAAAGTTTCTCCAGCTCTCTAATGATAATATGTGTGTATAATTTAAAACAAGTGAAGCCTGATACTTTAGCTGCTGTATTTTGGAGAAAATATTATCATTAAAAGACAGCAACATTACTGTGGGTGTGTTGATAACATACTGATCAGAGATAAGACACAGGAACATTACCACAATCCTCTGGGACAAACATCCAGTCATTTGTTTACACCCTCAACATGTAGTGCACTTTTTGTGTGTTGTACAACCTATACGTGTATGAATGGATTTCCGGTCTCTTCAATATCTTGTTGGGTGGTATATTATAGAATATAGAATATTAACATTGTTTTGTAATATTTTGAAATAATTAACAAAATACAAGTAAACTTTTATAAACATTATTTGCAATTGCCAATGTTGCCCATATATGTAATTTAAATAGCAAAAATGTAATATTTGGTGTTTCCATGTTGTTGTATTCATCTGTTTTACATATAGATCTGATTCCAACCATCTGGTACCCCCTCTTTTTTTGTGACAGCAGAATCACGTGATTAAGATATCTCTATTGATTTACATGTGCACTAATTAAGCTTGGTATTCTGGTAAAGTCTTTATTCTAAAATTAAGATTCTGCTCCACAGCTCTTTTAAAACATTCATGTAGGCCTACACATGAAATCATTATATTCTGAACGAACGTCCAATTGCATTCTGGAAATACTGGAGATACCAGCTCTTGCTATTACTGTACATTTTAGTCATTTTGAATTTAAATGAATCGACCCATTTTTATTGACAAAAATGTCATGAGAATAATGTAAGCCAAGATGTTTCTTATAATGTTTGTAAAATTGTAATAAAAAAAACTTTCTTTCTCACTGCAAAAGTTTTTTTCTTCTTTTTTACTGTATTTACCAGAATTAATTAATAATTAATATTAATTATTTAACTGAGGGGGAACCCAGGAAGTGATTTCAACAACCTGAATTGACATCTGGGCTTGTGAATAATTTATAAATAAGGTGTTTACATGATCCAATGAAAGCAGTCTCATTATATATATATCATGTAAACATCATGTAAACACCCTATTTAGAATAATATATATAACAGTATCTGACATTTGGCTCATGTAAGCACCTTATCTAGATTTATATATAGGCATATATATATATATATATATATATATATATATATATATATATATATATATATATATATATATCAAAATGTGTAGCAATCAAAATGTGTTTGTAGAATCAAAATATGACCAAATTAAGATTAATATTACAGTTTGTAAACGCAATGTCATGTTACTTCCAGTCAGAACAGAACAACAAAACCTCCCATGTCCTATGTAGATGGTGTTAGTTACAATGTGAAAAAAAAAAAAAAAAAAAAAAAAACAACAACATTTATTTTGTATAGCATCCCATTATTCTATAACCTTACCAGCAAACTCTCCAAATTCAACGCTGATCGTTGGTCCTTGATGATTGTCTCCAGTTTTCTCACCCGAGTTTCTAGTCTCATTCCTGCTCCGGTCGACATTGCGGCAATTCGGTGTAATGAAGGTCCCGGTAGACATCAGATTGCGGACTTCAATCGTCCGAATCAAACTTGTCAGTACCTGCCGTACCTCAACGCGACGCTTTATGAAAGCTCACCGGTTCTGGGTGAATGAGTTCTTTAGCCAAAGACTTCATACATTGCATAATTAAACTGAATACAGTTGTCGTGTGTCCTTTCCTAGTGTCCTAAATGACAGTGGCGGTCCGCGTGCTACTGCCAGCATATGAAATCAAAGGTTAACGTTAGACCCACGCGTTCAGGAAGCAAAGTGTTTCTCCCGCTCCGGTGCAGGGGGGAAAACCCTTCCGTGTGTAGCCTACGGTCCGTGTTTTTTAGTTTATGGTTGAAAATCACACGCTTGATATTGCTGACACTTTATTATTATTATTAGAAAATTAAACAGAGAACATGTAACCTACGTAAAACTGAATGGCGTGTTTCTTTGTTGCAGCTCGTGTCCCTCCCCTGCGGCCACTGGAATTCTTTGGATCTTATCTCAGCCATCGCTTTTACCAGCCAAACGTCACTCCCTAAATACGACCCACACGATATACTACACTAGATATATTTAGACGGTTACATGTATTTTTGACGACATGCGTAAGAGTGAATTTATAATAGGTAGAGACTCCTTCCATGTGCGTTTCGTAAATGTAGGCTATAGTGGTGCAATTCAGCTCTGAAATTCTGTGTTGCCTGATGTCAAACAAATAGCTATGATCCATCATGGGCTATTTAAATGTGTATATATATATATATTTTTTTTCATGTAAACATATTTTTTTTCAAATCATCCTCTTTGTTAACTATTATATTAAGGGAACTTATTTACCATATCTAATTCGTTTTTAGAGGCATATTGTTAACCATATAAAAATGTCATCCGCTGATGTCAAATTAATCTGAATCCATTCTCAATAATTTCTCACTCATGACTGTTAAAAACCATGAGTGAAAGTATGATAGAAGCCACCCTAAATAAAATCTGTGTTTGACACCCAAACCCATATGAGGCCCCATATTGACATGTTTTCTAATATTTTATTAACTTGTTACTCTCTGTATTAACCTTCTTGGTGCTATGTCTATGAGGACTGGATACAGTCATTATAGTGTTGTGTCAATGGAAAACAGCTGAAACAGCAGTCACATAATGTCTCTATCATGATACAGAAAAAAACTCAAAATCCGTCTGAGATTGAAGGCTAATTTTGTTATGCATGCAGGTAACTATCTAGGTCTATATAGTAACATAAATATGTGGTAAAAATGTATATGGTTTTGTTCATGTGAATAATTAATGATAGATAGATGATATTCTTCTGGTAACACCCACCTCTGGCACTGATTTGAGGAATGAGGAAATTGTTGTCTGTCTCAGAAAAGTCTCACTCCCCAGGTTTAGCTTGCTTAATTAATTTCTATGGACTAGACTTGAGAGCACTGCCATAGTAAAGCATTAACTGACCTTAAAAATCAGCTAAAGGAATATATATATATTACTGCTATCTGTTTTACAATGATCTGCATTGTAGTTAGTTAGTTAGTTGGGGGGGGGGGGGTATGTTTAAGCATACCCCATTCAAATTATGAATTAAAGATCTATCTACTATCTATGTGGTTAGAGTGTTAGTGCTTTTAACTATCACTTTTTAAAAGATAAATTAATTAATTGCAAGTCAGCCGCGAAGGCTCAACACTGGCATCTGGTGGTCATATTGAATGAGTTTATATAATTTTAGAACGCTACTGTCAAATGTATTGTTAAAACGTAACGTTAAACACGTATCTGTCCTCATATAATTTCTGGAGAAATTGTTTGTGGATAAGTCAATGTCCACTTATCGGTGGTTTTACCGTGTTTTTTTTTTTTTTTTTTTACCATAATAAAAAGCTCTTCAAATCTCGTCTCTCTTTTTTGTTGTGTGCTTACTGGGCTGGTTGTCATGACACTGTTCAACACATGAAGTGCGGGCAAAGATGGAGGTTACATTCTGTTGCTACAGTCACTATTATAAAGTGAGTAAATCCTATTATTTACAGTCTATGGTAAAATCATTGAACAAAGAGAATAACGTATCGAAGCATATAGGATTACAGAAGCACGCGGTTTCGATTTTTTTTTTTTTTTAATTTTTAATCAAATTTAAATGTCGGATGATAATTAAATGATTTGTTACTGAAGTATAGTTTAACCAAACTGAAACAAAATTATAGTTCTGTATATCTGCTTTACAGTAACATATAGCCTACCATGTCATCCATTGTCTCGAATGTGTCCAACTACCCGTTAGTGGATAAACTCATCGAGAATGAAGCAGAGAGCGAGATTCTACTCTCTAAGCCAACATGTTTTATCATCATAGGAAAACCAGTGAGTTTCCAACTTGCATAATTATTTCTCAATCATGAAAGTAAATGTTCCTCAGTCAAAACAAATAATAGTATTTAAACAATATAATACACCAATTGAAATGTTCTGTGTTACATTGTGTGATTTATTTTATTTTCAGGGTGTTGGCAAATCTACTCTAGCCAGAAAATTAGCCAATACTTGGAATTGTATCCTCATTGATGGTAAATAATCAAGTGCCTCATTTAATGCCTCAATGCCATTATGGACTTTATGAATATTTTTGTATTTCTTCACCCTTTTAGATACAGATCTTCTCAACAGCCACATCAGTGATGAGACTGAACAAGGTATACAGGTGTGTATCACTGTTTATTTATGTATTTGATCATACTAGAAATAACTGATTCCCTGCAAACAATTCTAGTGGTGTCAAAAAACCAAATGTGTTTCAGCTCTTTAAGATTCTGGCTGAAGGGAAAGCTGTTCCAGAGGAGATGATGGTCGAGGTAATTGTTGGCCGGCTAAAGTCACCTGATGTACAACACTACGGTGAGGATAAGAAACAACTAAAATAACATAATTTAATAAATAATTGTTTTAAAATCTGTTAATATATATTTGTAATGACTTGTTTGAATGGTGGTTGAGCAGGTTATGTCCTGGCCTGTTTGCCATCAATTTCAGAGGATTACCTAAAGATACAGGAGCAAATAGACCTGATTAAAAGCCTCGAAATGCCACCAGACTTCATCATCAACATCAAGGTTTTTCATTAATACTATCAATACCGTTCTCAATTTTAAGATAAACACTCTATATTTTATATATTAGCAGCCATACAAAATAATTATATTGTTTTTGTTGTGCTGTTTTGGCATGTTTTTGCAATGCTGACATTGTGCGGTTATATTCACTTCTGTATAAACACATAAATGTAAAGTGATTGACATTGAATGTATGTGTGCAGTGTGCAGACAGTGACCTGATCCACAGGCTATCAGGAGAGCGTCAACATCCGGAGACAGGCCGGGTGTTCCAGAAGGAGAAGTGGGACCCTGTGAAGAAAGAGTCAGTCATAAAAAGCAGCAGCATAGAAGATGAGGATGAGGAAGAGGAAGAAACAGAGGATCTGGAGGAAGAGGTAATACTTAAGCAGTGTCCTAAATGACATACTGTACACTATGCACTTACCAAATGGATTTTATATGGTTATTTTGCCATTTAACTTCGCAGTCTGATGGAATCTGCATAAGGAAAGATGTGACAGTTGTCCAGCATTCCATGCTTTTTCTTTTTTTTGGTTAATTAGGTGCATCCAGGTATTTGAAATTCACTTTTTCTTTTTTGGATTTTTCAGGGTGAGCACACTACTCACACTATTTAAATGCTAAAAATGGCATAAAACAGTGCAAAAGTATGTTAACTGGGATGCTCCTTTAGAGCAGTGGTTCTCAACTTGTTTAACTCGAAGACCCCTCCCCTTTAGGCTAAAATATTTCTTCCGGTATTTCAGATTTCAGTTTTTGTTTATTAACAAAAATGGGTATATTCATTAAAATAACCAACCACAATTAATGTTGTGATTCCAGACGTTTCAAGAACTGGCTTCTACAATAAAAACAACAGTTGTTGAGGGGTGGAATAAAAAAGAAACATCATTGCAATTTACTACATTTTCCTTTCATTTTTTAGCATTAATGAAGTTCGATTATTTGATTACATAATCATAAAAATATATCATCATTTAAATACTATCATTTAAATTTATTTATATTTATTTTATATATAATCATTTAAATATTATTTTATTTATAACTTTAAGTTATCAGGTGGCCCTATTTGTTTTTGTAAGTTTGCTACTGCCCCTGACTGAGAACCACTGACAAAAGTGACAGGAATGACAAAACTGGAAATCGAGTTCATTATATTATTGCCGTTATTTATTTCCAAGACACTTTTCCAAAGCGCTGTTTAAAAGTTTCTACGCACAAATGGCTAAATACAATTAAAAAATGTGTTTTTAAGATGGAAGAGATAGAGCTACAGAAGGACATGATCACACAACTAGTAAGAGTGATTGAGAATTACCCAGAGAATGCCAAGAGCAGGATCATGCGCTATAAAGACACCATTCTCAGGCCTCTTGAGGTAATGGCACCTATTACACACACCTGAATACACACTATTATTGAGACAAATAGCAGTTATACTTATGCTTGATGTGTAGGATTACATGGCAGACCATAATCCCCCATATTTATTTGAGCTGGATGGAAACAAGGATCCAGAGGAGCTCTTTGAGGTGGGTGCCCTCCAACAAGCTGTAATGCCGAAAGGCCTGTTCACACCAGGGATAATAACTATAAGGTTTTAATAACTGCTATAATATACTATTAGACTAAAGTAGTCCACACCACCACTATAACGAGAATAATACAGGACATTTTTTCCTGTTGATGAATAATAAAAACATTGATAGCCAATCAGAAATCATCCTTCTTTAAAGACCTTAAGCATTTAAATGTCACCATACTGTGACATTTAAATTAATAAAATAAACCGAACAACAAAAACTACACAGAGGGGGAAAAGACTTGAATTGACTTGATACGACTTCATGCGACATGACGCAATGCAGGGAAAACATGAAGGGAAGCACAAGTCAACGATTTGGCAACATACAAAGACATACCATGACCAACAAAGACAATCCAGTCGGAAAAACTAACCAATAAACAGATAACACCTAAACAGAAGGGCACATTGTCGCGCTCACAACAAGACAAGACACAAGCAGTGTCAGAGCTCTGTCACCAAACCAAGAATAAACAGACCGAAGTGACAGAACCCTGACACTAAAGCGACAGCTACAAAATAATATTGCTTCTTATAATAAACAGATGATACGATACACCTGTATAATGTAATAATAATGAATTTTCCAATTGCCTGTATACAGTCAGTAATGTCTCGTTTGGAGTCCATGGCTGTGAGGTGTCCAGCTGTGCCGGTGCGTTTGATGCCGACAGAGGACCCAGAGCTCGCTGATCAGATGGACATGGTCAGATACTGCAAATACACACCTCTATAAAGTGACCTACATTTTACATGCCTCTTCACCATGCCTATTTTTATAGGAGGAGCTGTTTCGGACTCTGTCTACCTGTAGAAATGTCGCACCAGGCTTTCATTGGCGAAGGAGCCGATGGTCCTGCAACTGCCCTGTGGCACTCAAAGAGGGCAGGGTGGTCAAGGGTAGACCCGAGTTCGCCGTTGGGTTAGTAAAAACGAATTTTTTATACATTAAAATTCTTTGATGTGAGGGGCTACATTTTCTTTCTTTTCTCCCCATCAGTTTCATGGATAAGATCTACATCCTGTCATCTCAAAATGCTCTGCAGAAGTTCACGGCGAACCCTCGTTGCTACCTGCTGCCCCCCATGCCACACTTGCCTTGCAGGGTGTCCGTGATCGGCCCACGATGCTCAGGAAAGAGCACAATTTGTGCACTGCTAGCAGAGTATTACGGTGCTGTAGTGCTAGATGTTGAGGCACTGATGGAGCGTACACGGAGTATGTTCACACAAGACATGTTGGACAAAGTCCGTCACGACGCCACCCTCGCAGGTTTGGAGAAGGTCAGAGCCAAGATGCAGCATGAGGCTACAGATGCATCAGGTTTGAAATGTTATGAGCATGCCAATTTGGTAAACCTACAGTACCAAACAATAAGCTCCATGACATGATAGAATTAACTTTTAAAGCATTCTGGGACATCTCTGAGATGTTTTTTCTCCATTTCTGTAGGTAATGTGACAACCAATAAGGGAGAGTCTGATGAAACTTACTCAGGTGAGGTCAATCCACAAACATGGACTTTAAACCTCCTTGGTTTCACTGATAACAATGTATGTTCTGTGCTTTAACATTTTGTTAACTGTTATCATTCATATCATTTTTACATACACACATGAAATAAATGAAAATGGTACGTAATTCAGTGGTTACAGTGTTAAAAGGTATGGAGGGATATGGTGAAGGAAAAATTTATTAGCACATTTCATACACTATATGCATTATTCCTTGAATAAAAGCAAGGAAAATTAAATCAGTAAAAGGAATTAAAAGAGATATCATGGGATGGAGGAAATTTAGTTGTCAATGCATTTGTGTTCACCCGGGAAACTTTGCGTCTTTTTTACAGTCTATGGTTCCCTCGCAAAAACTTTTGAATTCCGCAAAACATTTTGCAAGTGTCTGCAAAGTTTCTTAGAGGAGTGCAAAACATTTGCAAGAGAACACGAAAGCATTGACTTATTTTTCCTCCCATATCATATTTTTTTCCACCACCATGTCCCTTTAGGGGCTCAGTAAAATTGTTCACCCAAAAAGGAAAATTGTGTCATCATTTACTTACAGTATTTCCATGTCATTCCAGTCCCGTAATAGCAAAACTGTGGAAATGAAAACTGAAAATATAAAAACAAAAGCCAATCCAAAATATTAACAAATACATTAATAGTAAATAAATAATACTAAAATAACACTGAATGTGTAATTTACAGCAATAGAGGTGACAGAAGATCATCCAGATGTTCAAGTTTTTGTGGAGGAAGCTATGAAGGAAGCAACAGAGTCTCCAGTCACAGCTTCACGGGAGCTTTATTTGGAGGCCCTGGAGAAGCACATAAGAGAGGTAGACTGTTGTGCTGCCACCCTCAACTCTCATACTTACATAGAACAATATTATTTGTGTTTTAAGAGTGCCTGTGGGTTGTCAGATTGAGACTGAAGATGTGGATTCTGAATATAAAAGAGGGTGGATACTGGACAACATTCCCAGCAGTAGATCACAGCTGATCACCATTGAGGAACTACATGGTGCTGTAACACCTGAAGTCCTATTCTGTCTGAAAGACAATGATGGAGAAGGTGAGAGAAAGACATGTAAACATTTTTCAGTCCTGATTTTTACATTAAATGATACAACCTATGCTTGTTTAGGCCATGAAGTCCACTTGATTGTGATGGTCACTGGTCACTTGTTGTTGTTTATTGAAGGAAGGACTGTACTAACAAGGATGTATGAACAGAATAAAGAAGAGGTGGATCGAGCTGTGCTGGCTCGCCTAAAGAAAGATAGGAAACTGCATAAGACACAAGACAATCATGAGACACTGTAAGTGCAGCTAATGTAAGGGCCCAGTTTCAGACAATATAAAGTGGGGATTCAAAGTTTGAAACCACTGGAGAAAATGCTTCTATTTGGTTTTAATTAAAAATTATATTATAAGCATACTTTGAATCTTACTGACCCCAAACATTTGAACGTTAGTGTAGAGAATTGAGACTCCCAGATGTCATGGTTTCATGTTGGAAAGTGGTGGTTTACTTTTTCAACATGGAGATGTGATTCGATTCTTTTTTTGTTGTTGTTGCAGGAAACCGATTGAAGCCTCAAAGAAAGATTCACAGCCTACTGACACCCAGCCAAAACTCGAGACATTGATTGAGGAGTCAGGTAGTACTCTTTCACATCATTGCATTGCTGTGCATTAATGTTAAACTCTGCTCAACCTTACAATATTGCCTTGTGGTCTTAAGTGTTAAAACATGTTCTCTTTCATCATCTCGTGTTCGAGATCCACCTATGGGAAGGGCATCCGTACCTGACCTCTGCAGAAGCATCCAATTGCACCAAGTCTGGCTAGACAGACAGAAGCGCGCGGCCAGTGCCCGATGAGGCCACACCCCTCACCCACGGGCATATAACATCTGGGCGCGCTGCTATTCCTCAGTTGACATTCGCTTCTCGCGACCTCTGCACTGACACAGTTCGGTTGGATTAACGTTACGCTGTCCACTTTCGAGTCTACAGGAGGACATATCGCCAGATCAGCCTCCGCCAGACGTGAGTGACAGTCGTTTTTCTTCAGCCTATCCGCTGTGTTTTTTGCATCCGGAGCCGCCGAGCTCTCACTGTCCTTCACCTGCTCCTCCTTACATGGCTGCCCGCCACGTATTTTCCGAGTTCTTCACCGCTGGCCCACCCATGGCTATGTGACCGTCTAAACAGCCGCTTCCCCTGGGGAACAGTCCATCACGACGAGCCTGCCCGGCCGCGTGTGGTGCTCTCATCGCCGCTAAGGACCCTCTCGTTCTGCGCGGTCCGCTTGGGCTTAGCACGCTCAAGAAGCTTTGGAGAACCCGGAGAATTGCGGTCATTGTAATTGCTGCCCAGGTAGTTTTTTACAAAGCCGGCTTTAGTTGCACTATCCAGCGCACCGTGCTTGGCATTTCTTACTCGGATGGGGGACACGGTGATGATGACGCGCTACCGGGGGACTCCCGGAGCGCCACAGATAAAATATTTGAGCGGTATTCAGCCCAATCCGCATTCCCTGAAGAGGACATCTTCGCGGGAAAACCTCACTCTCGTTGACGAACCGGTACGGTTCCGGCGACGAGGATGACGCGGTCTTTCTAACGTTACCCTAAGCTAGCGCTCACGCGGTTTTGCCTCAGTCGATCCTCCTGGAAGTTTGTGAGCGAGCGGCCGTTCGTCTCAACATTGTGTGGCCAGCTCCATAGAGCGCCACCGACCAGGATAGGAATATTTACGACGGGTAAACGCGGGTACCACCGCCCAGCCTGAGGAAACAACTCTTCAACGTTTTTTCCAGTGTTCGCGAAGCTCTCAAGCGCGCCTAGAGCCTCCCGCTAGACTGTTAACACTGTCTCACGGGCCTTGATGAGTAGGAAGGCGGCCCTGAACGCTAGCAGCCCGCCTGCTGTTCCACCATGGGAGCCTCCAGCCCGCGTTCACGGGCCACGAGCCCTCCGTATTCTCCCGGTCCCGGAACCCTTGTCCGAAAGACACGGGGTCTCCCTCGGACGGTCGGGTAATCCCGTCTCGTGGCTACCAAGCCACAGGGGGGCTGTTGTGAGGGAAAGTACATAAGCAGTGTTACCACACCGCACACACTTGGTTCCCTCACCCAGTTATTAAAGGCTTGCCCCAGTGTTTCCCAACACAAAACACAAACTATTATTAAACGAATCAAATGAATTCGTGCAGATTTTTATATCTGTGTCAACATAGAGAGCAAATCTCTCTGATCCCTTGCATGTCGCCCCGAGTCCACCCTCAAGATGGCGCCATTGCCTCACAAATCAACCAGCTGGGCTCGCACAGCTCAGTTGCGGCTGCGAGCCATGTGTTTCTAGTGCACGTTGTGTGTGTGTGGAAGGCTTGGTCATTGTGTTTCCCAACACGTAACTAAATACACGTTTAAACAAACTATTCTTCTACATCCTTAAAAATCGGATAGTATTTTCTGCCTGCACTTGAGACTGCCCAGTTCATGTGTTCAGGAGATGTGTGTTTTCCCCCCAATTTCAGGGGGCTCCTTGTGGGTAAAGTTTAGCACAGTGTACACCACACTATGTTTGCCCAGTTCACGCAGTGTTTGCCCCCAACACAAAACACAAATAATAACGAATCTAACAAATTCGTTTCGGAGGGAAAACCTCTTTCCGCAGAGAGAACCTTTCTCACTGCAGAGAGAGGAAACCCCTCCGAACCCCCGCATGTCGCCTCTAGTGTGCCCACGAGATGGCGCCATTGCATCACAAATAATGCTGTTGGTCTCAAGACACAGCTCTGCTCTGTCCCGAGCGGGGACACTCGCGAGTCACGAAGCGGCTTGGCGAACCGTTTCGGCTCCCGAGTGGGTTATGCGTACAATAATGCAGGGTTACAGATTGCAATTCGCAGTAAAACCCTCTCATTTCAACGGCATTCTCTTTTCTCACACGGAAGAGAAAGCTTCTCACATTCTGGAAGAGGAAAATTCATCTCTCTTAAACAAGGGAGCGATTCAGGTGGCCCCCCCCAATCTGATGAACCAGGGTTTTTATTCCCGGTATTTTCTGGTTCCAAGAAAGGCGGCTCTCTCCGCCCTATCTTGGACCTTCGAGTGTTGAACAAACATTTGAGGAAATACACCTTCAGAATGCTGACACAGGGCGCACTCGCCCATGCCATAAAACAGAACGACTGGTTCACATCAGTCGATCTGAAAGATGCTTTCTTTCACATAAGCATTTATCCCCCGCACAGGAATTTTCTTCGTTTTGCCTACCAGGGCATATGTTGCGAATTCACAGTTCTTCCGTGCGCGGAGGCGGGCTTAACGCCTCTGAGAATAACAGGTCTGAGAATCCTACTTACATAGACGATTGGCTCATCATAGCCGAATCGAAGGAGAAGGTGTTGCAGGACACCGGCCGTGTGCTCGCGCACATCACATCGCTCGGGTTCCAAGTGAACGTGGGCAAGAGCTATCTCACGCCCAGTCAGAATGTCAATTTCCTGGGTTTGGAGTTGAACTCGGTTGCCATGCGAGCGCGTCTCTCTCTAGAGCGCGTTCGCTCTCTATGAGCTGTCTGTCACAGTTCAGAGAAGGGGCGAAAGTGCAATATCGCACATGTCTCAGGATGCAGGGTCTCATGGCTTCATCCACCCAAGTTGTGCCATTAGGACTCCTTAAGATGAGGGCGTTTATGAAATGGGTTTTGTCGCTACATTTCAGCCCGATTCGCGACCTTTGCCGCTCGGTTACAGTGACGCGCGCGCGTGCACTGCAGCCCTGCGCCATTGGAAGAACGCAGACTTTTACGCACGGGGAACCCCTCTCGGGGCGGTTACGATGCGGAAAGTGGTGACGACAGATGCATCCTTAACAGGCTGGGGTGCCACCCAGGAGGGCAAAACGGTGAACGGTCTGTGGCCAAACAGACTACGTTCAGCACATATAAATTATTTAGAGCTTTTTACCAATTGGAAAGCTCTGAATCATTTTCTGCCTCGCCTGCAGGGACATCATGTGCTGGTACGGTGCGACAATACCACGGCTGTGGCATATATCAACCGTCAGGACAGCTTGCGCTCGTCGAAACTTCACCACCTAGCTCACAAGCTCTTGGTGTGGAGCAGACGGGTTTTCTTGTCGCTACGCGCGACTCACGTCCCAGGCAGTCAAGGGGAAACCCAATCTACGGGATTGGCGTCTTCATCCGCAGATAGTGGAAATGCTATGGATGAGATTCGGACGGGCGAGCGTAGATCTATTCGCCTCGCGCGTAAACTGCCATTGTCCTATGTTCTTCTCTCTAAGGGACATGGACGCGCCCCTCGGGGTAGACGCACTGGCCCACCCATGGCCGAGAGTGCTCCTGTATGCGAGAGAGCAGGGCCTGTCTCTCATTCTGATAGCACCCAGATGGCCCAAAGCACCGTGGCTGGCGGAGATAATCCCTCTGTTATACGCCGAGCCATTGTGCCTTCCCGTTCGCACGGATCTATTATCCCAAGCCAACGGTGAGATTTACCACCCCCACCCGGACAGGTTGGCTCTCTGGGCCTGGCCCGTGAGAGGACGAACCTGAACGCACTTGGGCTTTCGCCGCGTGTGGTTACCACTATTCAGAATGCTAGGGCCGTCTCTACACGGCCCTTATATGGCTGTAAGTGGCAAGTGTTCGAGGGGTGGTGTGATGGGCGCGGTATCACATCTTATCAGTGTTCAGTTCCTGATATTTTGTGTTTCCTTCAAGACCTCATGGATAAAGGCAGGTCCTTTTCCACCATTAAGGTCCACTTGGCTGCTATTTCAGCCTGTCATGTGGGTTTTGAGGGCTCGACCGTCGGTCAGCACCCTCTAATCCGCAGATTTATGAAGGGTGCACGCCGCTCTTTGCCAGTCGTCAGGAGAACTGTCCCGGAGTGGGACCTCTCCATGGTGCTGGAAGCTCTGTCTCAACACCCCTTTTGAGCCTTTGGAAAGTATATCCCTTAAGCTGCTGTCTCTCAAGACAGCTTTGCTTTTGGCCTTGGCATCTGCTAAACGTGTCAGTGAGCTACATGCACTCTCGGTTCATCCCTCGTGCTCTAAGTTCTCTCTTAGTGGAGATAAGGTCTTCCTTAAGCCTAACCCGGCCTTCATGCCGAAGTGCTTCCCTGCGTTCACTTCGGAGGTGTTGGAGCTGTCCGCTTTTCACCCTCCACCTTTTACCTCTCTAGAGGATCAGAGGCTGAACGCTCTGTGTCCTGTCCGTGCCTTACAGGCATATATGACGAGGACGAATACTTTCCGGAAGAGCGACCAGCTCTTTTTTTTCATGGGCTCCCCCTCACTTAGGGAGTCCAATTTCGAAGCAACGCCTCTCACATTGGGTTGTGGATGCTATTACCATGGCTTACAAAGCAAGGGAGTGCAGCCCCCTAGGGGCATCAGAGCTCATTCCACAAGAGGTTTAGCCACCTCTTGGGCTCTGTTTAGGGGAGTGTCACTGCAGGACATCTGCTCCGCTGCCAGTTGGGCTTCTCCTCATACCTTCGTGCGCTACTACCGGCTGGATGTCACCAGTACCTCGGTAGCACATTCGGTTCTAGGGGTCGGGTCGTCTTAGCCCCTCCCTGCTGTAACCCTGTTGGGATATACCATTAAGGGTGAATGGGCTGACTGGCCATGTTCATTCCTGTCACCTATCATTTCTTCCCCTTTCGGGTATAGATTATGTCTTGGTGGGTTGGGGTTACTATCTCGCATGTGTCCCATGCGTATTTCATGTCCTGCTTGTCCACATTAGTTAGGTGTGGTTTCACCTTCGCAGGCTCATGATTAAGGGACGTGTCAGGCACCGCCTCCCCGAGGTGACCGTCCTTCTCTGGCTTCAGAACCTCACTGTGAGTGTATTGGGCAATCGGGGAGCTGTCCATGTCTCTCCCATAGGTGGATCTCGAACACGAGATGATGAAAGAGAACAATAGGTTACTGTCGTAACCCCGGTTCTCTGAAACATCGAGTGGAGAGATCCACCAGCTTTGCCCCGCTTGCCGCACGAGAAGCGAATATACTTACTGAGGAATAGCAGCGCGCCCAGATGTTATATGCCCGTGGGTGAGGGGTGTGGCCTCATCGGGCACTGGCCGCGCGCTTCTGTCTGTCTAGCCAGACTTGGTGCAATTGGATGCTTCTGCAGAGGTCAGGTACGGATGCCCTTCCCATAGGTGGATCTCTCCACTCGATGTTTCAGAGAACCGGGGTTACGACAGTAACCTATTGTTATCTGCATCTGCAGCGCGAAGCTTACAGCGTGTCCTGTGTAGTCCATTTCCCGAGCGAATGATTCTTATGCACCGGTTCCTTTTAGTGAATCAAAAAACACACGGCTTCAAGTGTGGTCCGATTGCCGACTGACTGAGTGACTCTTATGAATTGATTCATTTTAGTGTACGATTCGGTTAGAACCTTCGTTGTGTTATGTTGTGATTAGTGTGACATTAACTAGTTTAGTTGCCGACTGGTTGTTTATATGACAACGTGTATAGTTAAATATATACATTTTGAGTTTTGTACTAATCAGTGGTACACTCTTAGAAAAATGGTACAAAAGCTGTCACTGGGGCTGTACCTTTTCAAAAGGTACACTTTTGTACCTAAAGGGTGCATATTGGTACCTTAATGGTACATTTTAGCACCTAAAATTTACATATCAACACTTAAAATGTACATATCAGCACCTAAAATGTACATATTAGTACCTAAAATGTACATATTAACACCTCAAATGTACATATTAGCACCTTAAAAGTACATATTAGTACCTGAAATGTACATATTAGCACCTAAAATGTACATATCAACTCTTAAAATGTACATATTCACACCTAAAATGAACATTAGCACCTGAAATGTACATATTAATACCTAAAATGTACATATCAGCACCTAAAATGTACATATCAGCACCTAAAATGGAAAAAAAAAATCATCATTTGAAAAGGTACAGCCCCAGTGACAGCTTTCGTACCTTTTTTTCTGAGAGAGTGTATTTTACAAAAAATAATCAAATATCTAACCAGTTTTATGCCTGTAAATATGTTTAGCTGTTTTTGTCTTTGGTATTTTTATTAGTTATTGACAGTTATTGTATTGCACTTTTGCCACTTGAAAAAAGTTTCAAGCTTATTTTCTACTCCAATTCATACTGTTCCAGTGCTGTTTGTGTCAAGTTTGTTGTCCATTTAATGGACGTTTTTGATCATACTAAATTTTAGAAATTAGGTTTCTTATTACACTCCCCTTAAACATCTTCATTACATTGCTTTCCCATGCGCCTGCTATTGAATTCACCAAATATATTGCATGTAATGCTCTATAAGTGTTACATGATATCTTTTTCTTTATTTCTCTGCAGTGAATGCTAGAGATATGATCATGACTGCGGCATGGGAGTGACGTGACAGCAGGATTGGCCTTTCCCTCCAAACAACCTTATATCCACACTCCCACACCATGTGCTTCTCTCTTCGGAGAGACAAAACTGACTGAATGAACGACTACACTGAGAAAGATTGTGTGAGTGTGAAAATGGATGAGTCTGCGCTCCTGGACCTGTTAGAGTGTCCGGTCTGCTTGGAGCGACTGGATGCCACGGCAAAGGTTTTGCCGTGCCAGCATACGTTTTGTCGGCGATGCCTGCTTGGAATTGTGGGGTCGCGTGGGGAACTGCGCTGCCCGGAATGCCGCACGCTAGTGGAGAGTGGCGTGGATGAGTTGCCTAGCAACATCCTCCTGGTACGGCTACTGGACGGCATCAAGCAGAGGCCGAGGAGGACGGGAAGCATGCATGGCACGTGTACTAATGGATCAGCAGCGGCGGGGGTCAGAGCACAGGGTGCCGGAGTTGGCCAGAGGGATCCAGGTCCCACAGGGGCACAGAGGGTCCAGGCCAAGAGCACTCCAGTTAGGGTAAGTTCAGATGGTTTTGTTGGACTCAAACAGTCCCACATGCCAGACAGATCTCAAACAGTTAACTTGCTTTTACATTCATAAAAACTTAAATGAATGGATTTCTGTTAGCTTAATGGTTATATCGGTGGAGAGAACCGATTCTTTGGCCCATCTCGTCTGGTTATGAGTGGTACCGCACTATTGGTGTAAATCAGACCATGGAGACTTCCTGCAAAGCCTAAGCTTGAAATGAAAGGAAGAAAAATCTCTGAAATAATTGGGTGTTTAGGGAATTTGAAATGTTTCTCTGTTGTTCACTCTGTCATCTTTATAATTATTTTGGTTAATGAACTCTAAATAAAGAGTTTGTCTTGGATGAGTCTAATTTACATTCAGGAAAATGAATACTGGGTGGACTGTTTCTTGGAGTTTAGAAGAAACCACTTTCTCCGATGTTTCGTTTATGTGCACTTAAGTTCGATTTCAGTCGGACTAAAGCAGTCATTGTCATGTAAATGCTTTAGTCTGGATGAAATCGCACCGTTTTGGTTTTTGTGAATTTGGACTAAAAGACCTAGATACTGCAATTGTGGCATCTTGATTTCTTAATTTTCAAAACTAAAACCATTTATTCTTCTTTCCTCTTTAGTGCACAATTATAGAGGTCTACTAGTTGATAATTACTCTGGATAATACTTTTCTTATTTTTAGCAGAAACAAAATTAAACCAGGATGCAATATTGAAGGTCAATACTGATTCAATAAGAGCGTGATACACTGTTATCATGATATTTTGTCTAACATTAGCAGCTGAGGTGCTGAGATAGTCGCATTAACTGCATCTTATACAGCAGTTTTGTTGTTGGGTGTGTTTGTGTATTTGGATGTCTTATTTTTTTTTCTATGAGAGGGAGAAAAAAAGGAAGCAAAAACGTTGCAAGCGGACACCATTGTGTTTGTGGCTGTCGGTGTCTGAGTGGGAGCGCACACGTTTCTGCCAGTTTAACTTTCAAACAAAGTGTCCCTCCGGATCAGGATAGTTGTCATAGCAGCAGTTTTGTGATTGTGTGTTTTGTTTTGTTCCACCTTTTGGTTTTGCACAGTAACAAAACACAGGTGTCCCAACTATCAAGCCCTCTGTCATCTCTCCCACACAGACTTATGGGACAGAAAGAGGCCTCCACCCAAAGCATGATGGGTGGCGTTCTAAGTCAGACATCTCCGGTCTATAATCTTTTAATATCCTCCTTTTGTTGTTCATAAACATCAGTGCTGTGAAATGACAGCTGGATTGGCCTAATAAGATAGTTGCCCCTCTCATATTCAACTAACTTAAGTTTAAAAGATAATCTTATTTTCCTGTCTTCAAAAGAACCTCATCAGGGGTTTCTACTCTGACTCACTAAGTTTGACACTCTTTGTCTCCCCCACAATCTACGGCAATGCTATTTTTCATTATATGTTTTTTTTTTCTTTTGCCATGAATTGTATTCATTTTGTATTTAAATAATGCATAAAATAGATCATGTGTCCGTAAAGACCTTTTGGAATGTTTCAAAAGTTAAACTAATAGATTATTTTCAGCTTTTTCAAGTGTTTTCAGCATTGAGAATAAAAATAAATTTACTAATAATCGACTAATGGTGGCTACAATGTACAATTAACAGTCAACTAGGAAAATCTTCAGTTGGGGGCAACCCTACAAATTAGTATGATTTCTTAATGAACATTCAGCTTTGCCGTCACATTTTGAAGTATAAAATAGAAAACGGTTATTTTAAATTGTTAACTATATTTCACTATAACTGTTTTTTTACTGTATTTTTTTTTTAAATCAAATGCAGCCTTGCTGAGTACAAGATACTTAGAACCTCTTTTCTGTGAATATCATCCATTGTTGGTTACTACACTGTAAAAAAAAAATATTGTTGGTTTAACTTAAAAAATTAAGTAATGTAGTTGCCTTAATTTTAAGTTGATTGAAATGAAAAAAGTGAGTTAATACAATGGAGATTGATTTAATCTTCAGAAACTCAAAATAATAAGTTATCGGAACTAAATAAATTATTTAAGTTGATTTGACAAAAGAAAAAATGTTGTGAAACAAATCTTGAAAATATTTTTTACAGTGTAAATCTCGATTATTTCACATGCACGTTTCTTTACATTTTGAAGATTCCGTTATTGGATGATAAAATCACTTCTTTTCAGTCTGTTTTCTATTTCTGTAAACTCTTGAACTGAATTCAAAACCCACTATTTTTAAATTTGCCCTTCTTTGGAATGATAAAATCCTCTGAGGCCCGTCCACACTACTGCGTTTTCGTTTAAAAACGGAGAATTAAAACGAAAACGATCTCCGTCCACACTAGTGTTTTACCTGCGTATTAGAATTTATCTCCGTCCACAAACAACTAAAAACGTGGATCACGTGACCATTCACCAACACTGGGCATGCGCGCGCCGGTGTAAACAGTGGTTGGCGAATCAGGGAAAGATACGTCATGACTGATGACACCCAATCATAGAGCCGAGCGTGAGCCTCTGCGTCATCGTTTGTAAACTCCTCCGTTTTGTCTCGTCCACACTAAAACGCCCTCCGGAGATTCAAAACGCAAAACGCAGCTGCAGCGTTTCTAAACTTCTCCGTTTTAGGTCTTCGTTTTTCCCGTTTTAGTGTGGACGGGAGGTGCAAACGTAGCAAAAGGTCTCCGTTTTTAAACGAAAGCGCAGTAGTGTGGACGGGGCCTAAGTGATTACACTTATTCTCCCTTTAGTTGGCATCACTACATTAGCACCTCCTCCTTATCCTATACCCTCAGAGGAAGACTACATCTCTGAAAATAATCAAATCTGATTGACTTTCCCCACACACACTCTTTTCTAATTAGCGTTTCAGTGTACATATCATGCTTTAAGAACACAGTCATTAGCATTAGGCTGTTTGCCAGAGCCGACGGAATCCAACAAAGTGAGGTAATGTAAGGTTGATCAACACCAAATTTGTTGAAAAAAAAAAAAAAAAGGTTTTCGTTAACTCTTGCATGAGCAAACTTGGCAGTGATTGTTTCTTATCTTCTCTCTCTTTGTGCCCACTGTGTTTTCGCACGCTATCCTATTTAAGGGTGTATCTGAGGTGCTGTAAACAGCCTAGCTGTCGGAGGAATGGGCTTTTTGCAGCAGTTGTAGCTTCAAACAGAGCCTGTGATTCAAGGACCAGGAATGCATCTGAGACGACATGATAACAGAGATTGTGTGAGTGACAGGTCTGTTATTTAGGTCTTCAGTGAGGTTTTGTTAAATCTGACGCATGATATGCTTTGCTATGGAGATGCACAAAACACGCACTCACGCATGGAAGCAAAGTAGCGTTAAGGAGAAGAATTCCTCCCTGGTTCAGGAATACAGACATGCAGACATCCATACCCCTGAGATCTTGGTTGTCAGATGTTGCGTTATGTGGCTGTTTCTGCACCTGCGCACTAGATTACAGGAAGTCGGTGGCATATTTTACCTGCAGTCTAAAAAAAAAGTGTTGGCTTAACAACAACAAAAATGAACACAATCATTTGCATCAATCTTTTTGAGTTATGACAACTTTGAACCAACAAACTACATTAAGTGAGAGAACTAAATAATTTGTAAAGAAATGTAGAATTATAAAACAGCATTAAACAAACTGTTATTTCCCTTCACTAAAAAACAAACAAAATAATACTTTTTCCAACATTTATTGTCTTTATCCAGTCTTATCCAGCGAAGCATGCTGGTAACTAGATATCCGCTGCCAAATATCCAAAGTTATCAAGACAATTTCATTAAGTTACTACAACTTAAAAAATCAGATAACGCAAAAATTTGACTTAATGTAATGATCAACATTACTATGTCAACAGAACTCAACAAAACAATGTTTTAATAACTTAAAATTTTTAATTGGATCAATAAATTTGAAATTTTAACTTGTGTCCATTAATTTTTTTTAAGTCGTGGTAACAGATTCCCTCAATTACTTTTAGAGTCACAGTTGTGAATGCGATTTTGCAGTGTTTACTGAACGTGATTGTCCAGTGTAGTCCGATTCATGAACATATGATTTTCTCCTGTTATTTTTTAATGAATCTGAGACATACAAAGTTACCAATGTAGCCTGGTTCACAAACAAATTACTCTTAGAAATCCGATAATGTCTGACAAGTATGGTCAGATTCATGAATCAGAGACGCATAACCTGACCAGTTTATTATAATTCACATACAAATGACTCGTTTTGAGCCATACCTTGGTAATGAATCAGAAATATGCAACCTGACCAATTTGTTCAGATTCATAAAACAGTATAGTTCAAAATGAATAGTTTAAAAACACTGGATTGAATTGATCCAAAAGACTTCCATTCTAACAGAATTTTACTCAAATGAATTTAAATCAAATCAGAATGAAAATGAATCATGAGAGCTTGTGAATCAGAATTAAAATTGGGGAAGTCATTCAATACCTATTTGATCAGTAAAACCACAAGAAGTGATCAAATACCCCAAAGTGTCCCAAACAGTGAATGCTTTTGCTTGAGATGTGCATTGGATGGTCCTTGGGCCTGCTGTCTGACGCTGAAACCATGCCATCCCTGGACCTCATCCAGTGGGTTCAAGTGTTTCTGAGGGGGGTGCGGGGACACGCAGGTGGACTCCATGAGCCGCTGAAAAGCTGAAAGATCAAAGAACGCACTGATACCCATGAGTCCCAGTGGGCAAAGGGTGCCGCTCCCCTCTCACCTCTCTCTTTCTGATTTTGTCTTTCTCCGTCTGATTTCTATCAGAGCTGAAGAATAGCAGGAGGTGCGTTCTAGCAGACAGATGCATAACAGCTTATTGTTAGCGGCCACCTCTGATCTGACAGACTCAAGGCAGTGAAGGGGTGAACACCATACACTGTGTGTCTGCGTGAGGCGTACGAACCCCTACAGCTGTCTTTTAGATTTAAATAAGAGTCTGAATAGGTGGGAAAGAAAACGAAGG